CGAAATGAAAGCAGAAAGTTGTGTATCAAGAGGATGCTAAGAGTCTGACAAGATATTTTCTAATGTATTGCAAGAGTCCATATGGCGATCGTCAAGAGTAATAACAAGTTGGTCTAGCGACACCCCACTCGCACTACTAACGGCTTTTAGTGCCCTTCACAGTATAAAAAAGGTCTTTCTTAAATAGCCCGGGAAAGATTAAAGTGGCGAGGGCAGTAAAGAAGTAAAGGCAGAAGACAAGAATTAACAAACTGTAACAGTAGAGGCGGAGTGATACCAGATCATCTTAACTTCCTTATGTAGAACGTCTAATGAAATATTTCTCTGTAAAAGGACATGATGTCGGAAGACCAGAAAAGATGATCGGAGGAAACACACAGTCCGAGGTGTTGAACATTGGATTCAGTTCCAATTTCTGTGTCATCTACGATAGCAGAACCGTGCAAATTAACCAGTTCACGTAGGTTGCGCTTACATCTGAAACTGAAATTAACCACCTAACATTTGGAGGCATTAAGATTGATGCGTTTATAAAACCTGTTCCAAAAACTGTGTTTCGGATGTATTTCAGGCATTCAGTGGATTTCTTTCTATGTATACACAAACAGTACCTTATGAATTTATCAGGTTCAGAGAACCACAAGTCTTAGCCAACTGTTATCCATTCTTTTTATTTTCTCAATGTTCATAGCGCTCTAAGCTATAGACGCTTTATGAAAAATGCATAACTTTACATTTCACCACCATTTTTCTGTTATCACCAGCTTTAAGCAATAAAAATAGGTGGGCTGATTCATCTTTATACATCCTCTAAATTAGTAGCCCTAAAACGATATAGTCAGTCTCTAACAAAATATCCTCTGAAAGTGATTTGTTTATATATAATGCAACCACGGAAGAAGTTTCACGCGCGTATGCGTGCACATTTTTACAAAAATATACACCATTAATGCATTAAAGTAGTTTGAAAGAAATGAAATACGTTGATAGATTTAACAATCAACTTTCCATTGAACATTGAACAGTGGAAAAATTCTGTACGCGCTAAGATTAAAACAAGATGAATAGCAATTTTTAAAATATATAGAAAACAGAACATTTTCAATGCTTTCTTTATTTCTACTCGCTTCAAGGAAATTAAATTTTAAAAATTTTTAATAAAATTTAAAGTCATAAAAAAGTCAAAATTAAAATTAATATTTTATGCAATTAAATCCCCTGAGGAAATAAATGAAGCATCAGCGAATGTGAAGGCTAAAATAATTTGATTAATTATTTTTTGTTTGTTTTTCATTTCGTTTGCCTTTTCGAGTGGAATATAAAACTTCATATTTGAACTTCGATGTTTTTATAACGGTAGTGTTATGTTTCTATGGAGTGGCTAAGCTAACTCAGGCATTCAGAGAGCTGTTCTTTCTCCTTTTCTTTTCCCCTTCCTCTTATATGACTTGTCCCACTCTGAAGAGGCCAATTTTGTCAGGTATGACAATGATCTGACTGTTTCTATGCCTGTTACTTCGCAGTCTGACAGTTCCAAAATGAATAACGTTTTATCAGAAATTAGTTAGTGATCCCTGTCAAGTGGCCTTAAGCTTAATCCCTCTGAATGTCAGGTGGTTAATTTCCCCTTCAGATGCAAGCGCAAACGACGTGAACTGGTTAATTCGCACGGTCCCACTGTAACAACAGAAGACAAGGGTCAGGCAACAGGTCGTTTATTAAGGAAAATCAACACATATTTATAGATTTTAGTGTACATTATTGTAGATTATTGTTAGTAGAAAATACAGTCTTTTGATTGGTTGTTTCTCACAGAAAGTTAACCTTGCATCTCTTTGTGGTTGTGTCAGATCATCCATATGCTGACTGTATCTGCCTACGCAAAGCCTTTGTTCTCATTTTCTGACCACCAATATCGGGGACATAAACATTGACGTCAATTACTGTCTACCAACTTTGGCTAGCAGCCAGCTCTCACCACGCCACTATCATAGGTGACACAGAAATTCAAACTGAATCCAATGTTAAATACCTCGGAGTGTGTATTTCCTCTGGTCACCTTTCCTGGTCTTCCCATATCATGTCATTTTCCAGAAGGATATTTTATTTGAAGTCCTGCGTAAGGAAGTTAACATGATCTGGTATCATTCCGTCTCTAGTGTTATAGTATGTTAGTTCTTGTATTCTTCCTGTAATTATTTACTGCTCTCCCACCTTAATCTTTCCCGAGCTACCTAAGAAAGAATTTGTTATATTGCGAAGGGCACTAAAAGCAGTCAGTTGGGTGAGTGGGGTTTCACTTAATCGACATGTTAATACTATTGTCGATAGGCATATGGACTCCTGCAATAAATTAGTAGAAATTATCTTGTTAGACTCTTAGCATCCTCTCTATACACATTTCTCTCCTTGCATCTCACTAGGTAGGAGAACTAGAAGTAACTATGGGAGACTGTATGCTCAGACGAATTAACATAAAAACTCTACAATAACTCACTTGGCAAGAACACATTTCATGTGATGAGAAAAGTGTTCGGCGGGAAATTGTCAACTCAATTGAGGAGCTCTAAGTGAACGGCCCTTTTTATTCTTTCCATCACTGTTATATTTTTGTTAATAATTTCACTTGATTCAATTTATATGTATATTCATATTGAACAACGTCGATGCCCTGTTTTAATTATCCCCACTGTTATGAGGAAACTAGATGCGATATTGTACTATTTGCTGAAAATTCCATATTTGTGCCAAAATTACTGTTTAAAATAAAGCTATTATTATTCCCCCCCCTAATGGGCTTGGTACCTTCTACGTGATGTTCAGAAGTCCATCAGCCAGGAATCGAACCCCGGGAGAGTAGTTGTCGAGAACTCCGCCACTGAATAACCGACGCATATGATTAATTACACACAGAATGAATAAATATTAAGGTAAAAAACACACTTCATGCATTACAGCGAAGTAAGATGCTCCCGTCATGAAATCATGTTTTCTTTTAGGAAAATTAGAGGGTGAATTGAATGCGAGATTTGTTTTGCTTTGTCTCCCTCTGTGTTCCAAGTGGAACTTAGGGCTTAATACTTTGAAGTTTCAGTAGCGATAGTGTGTTCAAGGAGTAGATTTGCCAGCCTCATGTCCAACCTTTCCACTTTCGTAGTTTTCCTATTGGCGAGATGTAGGAGTGCGTTGGCTAGGAATCGAACCCCAAACCACGTGAGAAGTTGGCCAGCACCTGACCACTGAATCACCGACTCATCATACAAGTTTTCTGGTAATTCTTAATTTCTCAGTAGTAAATAAATATAATCACCAGTAGAAAGTGAAGTCGAAGTGAGCTAGCCAAGTGAAAACTATGCTTTAGTATAATCTACAGAATAAAATGCAGTGGTCCGTGTTTTACAAGTTTATTGAATTAGTATTTGCCAGTTCTGGAAATAAGCTATCTTGTACAATTATCTAACACAGAAAAGGTTTGTAAAAGTATATTTTAAATTTCACATGAAACAAACCAAAAACTTTATGAAGATTTTTCAAAAAACACACTATTTGCTAAATTTAAATTTAATTTCAGTTAAAACCTACCCAAACGCCATGTTCCATTTCCTCGAAGTTCAAATGAGAAGAAACGTTGATAACTCGCAGAAGACGTTCATTTACAAAAAGCTCATATGTAATGGACATTTTTATTAGTTTTCGAAGTTGTCTTCCTCTAAGCAGAAAGAGGCATCGGTGGTACAGCGGTAGAACGCTCGCCAATCGCTCAGGTGGTTCGAGGTTCGATCCCTGGCCGACGCACTCCTTTATCTCGCTCAGCCAGTAATAAGACTGGTAAAGAGGAAAGGTTGGGCATGAGGCTAGCAACCTTATCCTGTAAAAATAAACACCACTGCTACAGCAACTTTAAGCCTCTAGCCTGAAGCCCTATGTTCCACTAGGAACGTAAAGGAGTAAAAAAAGGGCAGAAAGAGAAATCTCATCTATTCTCTTTCCTCGAGGATTTGGAAAATATGCACTGGGTGATCTTGATGGAAAATGGTTTCCCACCTAGATTCATAGATAAGAAACTGAAACCAAAGAAAGCCTCTGAAAAAATATAAGTTGTCTCCGAAAAGATACTTATGTTTAATCTAGAATTTAAAAGTTAAACTTAAGGAGAAATTCTCCGTCGACAGCTTTTGAAATCTCTCGTCAAAACATATTTCGCCACCAGCCTACAAGTGACATCTTCTCGCGAGAAACTATTTAGCCAGTACATGAAAGACAAGTTTTCACATTTAGGTCACTTCAACAGGGATATACCAGTTCACTTGCTCTTGTGACACTGAGTACATAGTCCGCACCATTTGTCCGCTTGTAAGATGCGCTCAGGAACACTATCCAGCCTAGTTAATGAAGAGGAAAAGCAGGTGTGTATATAGTTCGCTAACAGAACATTTGGTGAAATCAGGACATCTAGGTTCATTTTAAAAGTCCTTCAAAGTCATATACAAGATGCGATCAAATCTCTCAAATGGAGTAAGATCAAGGCATCTTGGCATAGCTGAGACACTAACGATCCGCGCTGTTTATCCATAAGAAATACCTCCAACCTTCGCCTCTACTATGACTATCATAAATAGTCAATTCTCTGAATTATGTTTATCCTACTAACTTTTTTTATCCAAACTTCCTGTCTTTTTTATTACTGCATTTTTAATATCGAATTACATTTAAAAAGATCGATTTTCTCGACAGCTACGTTTGTACTGTTTCTTAACCGATCTTCCTGATTATTTTGTCACTATTGCATTTTAATCACTATTTGCAATCTTATCAGTTTGACCCTTGACCGGAAGTAGTTCTGGAAATTTCCTACCCATTTATTGAAAATGTACAGCCTAGTTGACGACTTCGTCGAAAAGAAAGTATCCTTCACTGCAATCGTCTTTCTAATATTTCCTATAATCTAATACGTATATTCCATAATCGAAATGTTTTTTTTTTCATTTATCTCCTCTTAGATTATCGTTGACATGTCTCCGTTAAATAACGAACCACACAGAAAACTAAAGTGTCTCTACGCTGGATTTACATCTATTGACACTAAACTCGGTAAGCTGCATTTTATTTTGGTAATTTTTTTAAACATTAAAGTCGAAGTATGTCTGAGGGTGGGTAGCTTGGGTTAGCAGTCTACTCTCCATGTGCCTTCAGGTCAATTCGCATTTACGATTGATTAATGCTGTTTAGATCGATAGTTATTAGGAGTGGAATGCAGGATGCACAGACACCGAGCATTTCTAACCGTCATAATCAGTCATTGGGAAATACAAATTATCCCAAAAACGAATAGTAACTCATAGCCATTGCATAAAAAGTAATTCTTGTGTTCCGCATGGCTCGGCGGAAATCGGTTTGGCGTTTGAAACGATGAATACTGCGTTCGAGTTTCTGTGAGAACACTGAAGACTGCAGGTACATCCAAATGATGAGTTCTAAGTCGGACGAAGTGAGCATCACTGGTGATTCCATTGCTAGTAATCACCAATAAAAATACTATCCATGTAATAAACGACGCTTGAGGGTAGAATTAAAATCTGATTTGCGACAGGCTTCGCACCTTCGGATTACACCAAATTACTTGCAGCCCAAGACTATCTCATATAATCTCACCATCAATTAACACCCTGCTCCTCCCATTAAAATTCAGTATGATTTCCGTAAAATAATGACCGACTTAGCAGTTGAGTCTTCTAGCTCAGCTAGCAGACTGTTGAGCGAGTAGTCTGCAGGCCGATAGTTCAAACTCTTCATGCATTTATTCCCCTTGATGAATTTGAATAAAGCAAGAACAAAAGTGGTTTGTGCAGTAAAAACCGTTATTTTTCAGCACCTTTTCGAGGAACATAAATTCTTCCTCTAGTTTCTCTGTAGAGCATATTCTCCTTTCTCTATAGTACAGAGTCTTGACTAGTGCTCGTTTATAGCTATTTGGACAAAAGCTATTAAAATGTAAGTATTGTCCATTCCATGTAGGCTTTCGGTAAATTGACCTCTGGAGATTACCATCTTCTAGGCGTTGCATGGCGATGTCAAGGAAATGGAACTTCCCGTCATTTTCATGTTCCATGGTAAATACAATATTTGTATGTGCTTTGTTGAACAGGCTGAGTAGGTAGGAGGCATGACTTTCGTTGTTGCATACTACAAATGTGTCATCGACATATCGACAATAGGAAGTTGTTTGATCGATTGCATGCTTCAACTTTGTTTTCTCAAGGTTTGACATGAAGATATCTGCTAGAACAGGGCTAAGTGGACTGCCCATGGCTACACCATCTATTTGTCGGTAAAGAGTGTTATCAAACTGGAATTGTACATCCATGGTACACATTAGCAGTAGGCGTTTGAATTCTGACTCTGGTAGTGGAAGCAGATCAGAATGTTGACAAATGATTTCAATGGTTTCATTGATTGGGATCATTGTGAACAAGGAGGTTGCATCAAATGAGACCATGAACCTATTTAAAACGTTCATATGACTCACGCTTTTGGCGAAATGAAATGAGTCTTTTACGGTATGCACAGCTAGACGTCAGCGAATGGGTTCCAACTTCTCCGCAAGCCAACGGGCAACCTTATGTTGAGGAGAGTTGATCATCGAAAGTATTGGTCTTAGAGGGACTTCTTTCTTGTGTATCTTTGGAAGGCCATACATATATGGCAAGCGGGAAAACTCTAATGCGACCCAGATTTTCATCTGAATGAACCAAAGTTGAAGGATCACGAATTGTTAACTTCCTGAGACTATGCAACAAATAGTTCAACTCACAATTAAACAGTTAATACTGATGAAGTATAATGCTTCTTTCTTTTTATTTTGAATAACTTTCCTTTATCTAACAAAACATTTTACAAGAGATAAGCAGTTCTTTTATAGCAAAATATTTCTTCTCAACATGCTTAAACTAACTAACTAATCCGTTTGCATTATTATACAACCATTTTAAATAATCGAGAGTTATTTTTAGGGACTTCATTTGTTTCTAGATGATATGTAAAACAAGCAAGGAGTACTGGACAGTTGTTTCGTCCTTGTTTGGGACTCAGTGGCAGCACGCATCCACTGTTAGGGTTCGAACCCAGGACCTACTCGTGGTCAAAATTAAAAAAATTTTAAATTAAGAGTAAATAACAAGTAAATCAGTGTGTTCTAACCTTGTAAGGAAATGTAAATTTCCTCAAAACTGTTGATGAGGGATGAGTACAAAACCTTAACCGAACAAAATTTTTCACTTATCGACTCTTAAAGTTTAAGCTTACAAATCCATCGACACGAAAATGCGGCTCTGCAGGTGATTGACCGTTGGTCAATCTATAAGATAAACATTTCAGCGTTAAAGCGTTTAGTTTTGAAAAGAACAATATTATTCATCTTGTCACATTTATTCTTCCATAATAGTGAATTAATCATTTACCATTTTCAAGTCAACTGAGGCCAGAATGGCATATACTACTGACTGGTTGATGCAAGTAGTGCTTGCTAGCCAGCAATTATGCTCTTTTAGGATTAGGTTCAACAGCATGTGTACCCAGTTTTGATTCATTCTTGAGAGGTAAATCAGTTCAAGCCACCTGAATTCTAACTGGCTAACTGGATGAATTACTGATTGGTTTGAGTGGAATTCAGCTACTTAAGTCAGCCAAACAACCAACCATCTTCAACTGAGGCCGGTCTCCTTCCTTACTATTTATTAGATTAAGTCGATACGATAGTATAATCTGAATGATATCGGTTCCCAAAGGTAATGAAATTTAGTGCAATTTCCCCTCGAACTGTGTGATTTGTAAATTAGTAATTTGAAATCATAACTCCTAGCAAGAAACACATAAAAACTGTCCATCATTTCATGTCTCATTAATACAATGGAAAGTTTTACCATGTGACTTTTGTTCCCTTGAAAATGATTCATAGGCAAAAAAAACTTGAATAATTCAAGGTAGTAAAACATTATTCAAGTTTAAAATAAAATATTTTTGATACACATTGTACAGAATGTATACAGAATGATTTCACGGTATTGTATGTCAGCACGGTTAAGAGTAATGTAAATCCTGAACACTTAGAAGGCTTTCATCCAAATAGTGATATGCTTAATATGAAATATCATTCATCGGAATATATTGTAGGAATATTTCTAGTAACTTTCAAAATTTTCAGAAGAGGTACACCGATACTATAACAATGAATGTAACGACTAAAACTAACTTGTTGTGGTCTAAACGTAGGAAACTGATGTCTGAGTCCTACTGTATAGCTGATGGAACTTCATTGAGACACACACGGGAAACCTCTTTGAGATACCCACGGTCACAAAACAATTCAAAGACAGCAAAAACACTGTTATTCGTAATTGGAATCTATGCGTGATTCTGTTCAACAATAAAACATCAAAAACTCAAGACTACCTAAACAGTGGAGTTAGGCAACTATACAGTCAAGAGAACATTCTAAGTACAAAACAAGTGTTGCAGAACAAAATTAGTTAATCAAAACTCAACTGTAAGTAAGACCTGACAATCTAGTGGAATATTCCCAAAAAGGTGGGATCGAAACTCTGTAACAAGAGCCACATACCAGAGATTCGCGCATATAGTCCAAGGTAACAATCACCTTCGTTCACTCAAACAAGATCGCATCGTAAAACAACACACTGTCAATATCATCATCACACAACCACAAAGAATAGCATTGAAATTAGAGATTAAACAGGGACAAGGAGAAATAATAAGGATAAAGTCAACATATGATATTGCTGATATCAGAATGATGAGATACAGTCTAGCATAAAAACGGATAGTGATTACAAAGTTAGTTGAAACATTCTGATAAGTGCAAATATTCTGATTACATTTTTCAGGAGTGACTTTCCAAAGAATTATCCCATTAAATTATGCACTCACTGAATATTAAATATTCATTCACTTAGACGTTAATTGGGGGATGGTGACTAGCAGTGGAATCCAGAGTGCTCATTTCGTTCTATTTGGGACTCGTCTTCTGGATGTACCTGAGGCCAAGAACTTCGGTCCAATCAATCGACGGGAAAATCTAAAACTGAATTAAATTCATTCACTTAGTTATTCTCCAAACTTTATTCACTAACTAAAACATTTCTCAATATGTCGTGGAATTTCTTTTCACACCTAGTGTTCTTTAGGGATTAAATTTCGATAGCATTCTTTTTATTCTTTTCTTTGCTTTTAAAGCCCAAAAAATCTATCCCAAAAAAAAAGGAGGAATTTCTCTATAAACTGAAGACTTACGCTGAAATCTCTTCTGATAAAACCCAAGGATCACATAGCAACAAAACTATTAGCAATATAAATAACTTAACTTGGAAACAGCTAAAAGTATATTATTATCATTATTCCCTTAAGTTCCGAACAGAACTTGGGGATTCAATAGCACATCGCTATTTCACCTTGTTGTCTGCAGCCTTTATCAGGTTGTTCCGAGACTGCTCATCACCTTCCATTTGCTCTTCATATGTGACCTACTCCATCTTATCTCGAACGCCTGAATTTTGGTTCCACTCGACAGCCTAAAGCGTGATGTCACTCAACAGTTTTCTCAGCGTATATCTAATCGGTTTCCATTTTCTTCTTTCTATTTGTCAACCAACTGCCACAGTTCCTTCAGGCTTATCCTTTCTCTATTACAAATAGGTAGATATGTGGTGAGTGCTGTCTGGAAGCAGTTTATATCAATGTTTACGTTCCGAATCAGGATCATTAGAAAAAACAATAACAAAGCTTAACCTTGAGAAAATCACCAACCAATCACAGCAGACTTAAGGTGTACAAATAAGACTCACACATATATGGCTTACCTTTCTAAGAAACGGTCACAAGCAGTACAGAATAACCTTCAGCAATAGAACAACCAATCAGAAGACGTTGCTTCTCTGCTAATGAAAACGCTAATAATAATGTACACAAAAATATATAAATATCTCTTGGTTTTCTCAACAAACGATCTGTTGTCTGGCCAGTTGTCTTCTGTCATTACAAGTATAGGTAGTATACTTAGTACCGTTCTTGGAAAAAGTATTGATAACTTATGTTTTAGATAGAAAAATCTTAGAAGAAGGTGAAAGCGCAGTACGTTATGTTGTCCTGAATTAATCATCACCCAACCTTCAGCTTTTACTTCCATATAACTTTCAGGTATGAAGACGATGAATCGTGCGATTGAAACTGTTTTAAAGAACACTAATACACATCAATGGTTGCCTGTAAATATTTCAATCTCTCCGTCTACAGTGAATTTGGTAAGATGATAGTATTCCTTGTTACTAAAATGTCATCAATACTTCTCTGATGACTTTTATCGATTAACTAACTTGAACCCTGTGAAAGACTGATTCGCTAATAAACGCGCGGTTACCCGATTCTGTATTCAGTATTCAATGTAAATACTTTAAATATTCCCATTGAGATAATTTTAGAAAGTGATTTAAGTAAGTAAACATGTGTTTTCTGTAAATTCCCACCAATATTTACAATTACATAATGAAATATCAATCATGAATATATGGAAAATGTGGATCAGTAGAATTAGGTGTCATCAGCCACTAAATTACCGGCATCAAAACTCCGAAAAATAACAACTAAAACGTTCTTTGCCGCCACACGAATCGCTGTATAATTCCAATCCAGGTGAAGAATTACCTACCAAGTCTTGCCACTTTAGTGTACATTTATAAATGTAACTGTTTGTGTGGAGACAGTTACATAGGGAGAATGACTCACCAAGCCCACCGTCGCCTTCTTGGGCATTGTCCGACGTGGTCAGGTAAAGGAGTCATAAAATCGATCAGGAGTTCCATTTTGGGACACCTTTGAGGTATCCATCACAAGACTGATAAAAATTCAGTCTTTACGATGTTATACAAGGTGTCGCCTCAATTCCTTAGGTTTGGACGCATTCGATTGCTTGACATGGATGGGGAAGATGCAATAAAAAGTTCTCAATCGAATTTCTGTTTTCAAGAAAAGTTTTTTCAATCCCTCTCCCTCTTATGATCCTCAATCCGCAGCTAGAAAAAAGTATCCCGATGATACCGGATAACTATGAATATTATTTTTATTTCCATTTGTACTGCTAACTTCATTATTAACATCATACTATGCTACATTTATATATTTTGATCTGTTTCACAATTTTTTGTTATTGTTATTATTTTAATTTGTGGATGGTGACTAGCAGTGGAATCCAGGATAAAGAGCATTTCGTCCTATTTGGGACTCGTCATCTGGATGTACCTGCATTCCCCAGTGAGTGATGATGTTCCCACCGAGGCTTGAACTCACTGCCCATAGTTTCAAACGCCAAAGCGTTATCCACTCACTGGGAAATGCAGATATATCCAGATGACGAGTCCCAAATAGGACGAAATGCGCATCCTGGATTCCCCCACTGCTAGTCACCATCCACAAATGAAATTGTAATTAAATGCCCAGACATCGTCGAAGCATCTGCACAAGAAGCCGACATGGTAACCTGAGACCGAGCACTTCGGTCCAATCAATCCACGGGAAAATCTCAAATTAAATTGTTATTATTATTCTGCTCAGATTCTCCTTGATTCTGTTTGATTCCATTGAACCACATTGTTTCAAATTTCTATGACTAATACTTAATTATGTTGATAGCATTATTAGAAGACGGAGATTATCTGAAAAATGTGATGTATTTGCGCTATACATTTTGATATGCGACGATCATGAAGATGAGAGTCGTCTACTGGACAGACTTAACTCTGTACAGAATAATATTAGTCTTACATGCGAGGAAGAAAGTCGCAACCAGCTCGCATTTTTAGACATACTTCTGAGTCGAAGAGACGATGGCTCAATAAGACGGTCTATCTACAGAAAGCCCACTTGGACAGGGCAATACCTTAATTTTCACAGCTTCTGTGCATTACAATATAAGAGAGGCTTGGTGAAGTGTCTATTTAAGAGGATTCAGCGTGTTTGCACGGCTGATGTTATAGACAAAGAAAACGAAATATTGATGGATACTCTTTTTGAAAACAGATATCCTTTGAAATTTTTAAACAGGTGTAGAAGTCAACTAGCCTCTAAACCTACAATCCATACCGTCCCTAAGAAAAAGGTTTTCATCAAATTACCATATAATGGGGAAATAAATAGTAGGATTTTGAGACAAAGGTTTAATTCCATCATCCCTAGAACCTACTATGCAGCCCAGCTTGTAATTGTGGAAAAAGCTCAAAGTATGCTTCACTGGAAACCTCAAAAGTGCACAAGTGATTATATCACATCTCATACAATTTACCAATTTTCGTGTGTGTGTGGACATACATACATAGGGAGGAGTAATCGCGCGCTGCACGTGAGGGTGGGAGAGCATATCCCAAACTGGTTAGAAAAACAGATGAATTGTGACAAGCCAATAGATGCAGGTGTCAGACTACCAACTTCGTTTTTAGCTAAACATTTAATCGAGATGAACCATAAGGTTGATGTTAACTCAGCCTTTAAGGTCATCTATAAAAACGGTCAAGGACGTTTACTGAAATACGCTGAGGTTATAGCCATTCATAAACTTAAGCCCCCCTTGTATATTCAAAAACAGTTTGTTATTACTCTTAACCTACCTTGGTAATCCTTATTTGATTGGATTACCAAATGTTTGTGTTAATTATTCTTAATTCCTTTTTTTGTCACTTTGTTTAATTTAACTTTTTCATATATATATATATCGACTTGACAAGTAAATGTGTGATCAGATTGTTCGAAATGTATAGCGCAAATACATCACATTTTTCAGATAATCTCCGTCTTCTAATAATGCAATCAAAATTTATAAAAGGGACTAGCTGTTTTAAATTTAATTATGTAAATGTAAAGCCAGATGAGATTTTACCTAAACTACGTATTTGCTTGCTTAAATCGTTTTGATTGTAAATGCAACGGTGCGGATAAACAATAGAGGAACCAACAGTTACATTCAAATGAAGTTGCTTATTGATGTCCTACTGAGATCAAAGCGGGCGCGAGGGAAGAAGGCATTTGATGATATTAGATGGTTGGAGGCAATCGGCCACAGGAAACCCAGTGTGATCTAGGTTTCGTGCTTGTTGGCACTCACCGGTCAGCAAGGCGTACATACGACCTTTAAGGAACTCATGTGCCTTCTAAGGTTCGAACTCCTATCACCCAGTGCTACGGTCAGTCAGAGACGTTACCACTGAGCTATTCAGACTGTACTGGATACTATGATCGGAAACTAGTAACTAGTGTGATGCGTTTAGTCCTTTCTTTGGAGTAGGCTGAATTCTATCAGTCAGGAAGAAGAAAGAAGGCATTGTTTAGAGGTAAAATGCATTGAAAGACAAAGTAATGGATTATAAGTGTTATCGATGACTTGAAACTCTAACAAAGTAACAGTTGATACTTTAACCGTACAGTAATCAATCTAAAAGGCGAAAATAACTACTTCGATCAAAATAACGATCACAGAAATACATCGCATACACTAATTCCCCTCAATGAATTTGAATAAAGCAGTTACAACAAAAAAACACTAATCACGCTTGGAACAAGATAAAATGGATCCATTTTATTTTGTTGGTCGATAGTCTTATCAACTGTAGACAACCTATTTAATGAGAAGTTATATTTTCATTACAATTTTAACATACTTTAGTGGATTGGAAATAAAACTTTGAACAATAATTATGAATGATCACTGTTATATAGATTTGTCATAATGTGAGGTTAGTAAAATACAAAAATACTCCTCTACTTATGTACCTGATGTGTCCGAAATTTCCCAAATAAAACAGAAGCTTTGAGCAAGGTAAGTAACAACACTCTGAGGTAGATAAATTAGGAGACTGCATAAGTTATTGAAAAATTGCTAATAAGCAAATGTGATATTGTAACGACGGGCATGATTAGAAGACGAGAGACTTTGTGAAGGGATGTTCATTTGCGATTTGGTATCTTTATATAGCCAAATTATGTACACCCTATCTTCAAATCACCATTTGCACAGATCTTCCATGTTGTGCTACATCTGCCCTCCCTTCATATTGTCTTTCTTTGTGTTCCTTTCACGCCTCCCAAGCATCTCCCGACAATGCTGCGTAATTTGCTTTCTCTGACATCAAATCTATCTCCCTGCTACTTGATGTTTTTATGGCGATGAACGTCAATTTATATACTACTGATAAATCTTATCAGTAGCACAAGCCACAATATTATATATATAAATATATACTTTTAGAATTTTTAATATGTTTGTGCGTTGAAGTTTTTGTAGCAGCAAAGACAGGACTGCAGGTGAACATAGACAAGATGGAGGTTATGAAAATAACCAACCAACAACAACAACAGCAGCAACATCCACCGCCAATCACCATCAACGGGAGGGATTTGAAAGAGGTTACTTCACTCACTTATCTAGGGAGCATTGTCTCAACTACAGGAGGAACGGACGAAGATGTCAAATCAAGAATCGGGAAGGCGAGAAACACATTCATCAACCTGAAACCAATCTGGAAATCTTAGTCACTCAACATCAACAACAAAATTCGGATTTTCAATACAAACGTGAAGTCAATTTTGCTTTACGGATCAGAAACTTGGCGGCGGGTCACAAAGAATATTTTCAACAGGTTGCAGACCTTTATCAACAACTGTCTTCGTTCTATACTGAAGATCAGATGGCCGGAAAGAATCACCAACAAGAAACTATGGGAAAAAACAAAACAAGAACCAATCGCCCAACAAATATGCAGGAGAAAAAAGTGGAGATGGATTGGACACTAGCTTAGGAGGCCGTTGGGTGATATCGCGCGTCAAGTCCTCGAGTAGAACCTGAAAAGGAAGCGGCGAGTGGGACGTCCAAGGGTGACATGGAGGAGATCGTGTGAAGAAGAGTTGATACAACATGGACTAACATGGATGCAGGTGAAAAGTACAGCAGAAGACAGAAGCAAGTGGAGGCGTTCAGTTGAAGCCCTATGTTTCACTAAGAACCCAAGGGAACAATAAAATAATATATATACATATTAGTCATAGGCATTTGAATTAATGTGGTTAGTCAAATATGGGATCAAAATTCAGGGATGTGAATTGATGGATAACACTCGAGGTGATGATGATAATAATAATAATAACAAGGGTAATTCCATTCAAGCGTTTATATAATCTAGGCGGTGTTGAGTGTATAGGTAGAATGTGCATGCTAGTAGGGGTAGAGGGGTAACATAGAAATTAGATAACGTAATAATAA